GTCTTGTGGATCGCATCAAACTGAACGTCGAATAAAGGCCAAACGACTGAAATACAACGAGAATTAGCATATATCTTTTGGTGAGTTTAACCTACGAATCTCTTCATCATGTATTTCCATACAAAATAAAAGTCCTCACATCAATGTATTGAATTAGCATACGGATGGAAACGGGAAAATCACTGTTAGCTACAACAGGACAGCACCAAGCCGTAGTGACACGTCTCCTTTTTGCTTCCAGTAATCTGACTAGCGGATTTAAGTGCTGATGTATGCATGGGTGAAATCAAGCGAATTAAATATGCTCCCATGGGTCTGATTGAATGATTTAGAAAATAGTAACAACGAAAATTCAGTCGAAAATATTTGTGGGAAGCACACTAAACAAGATTCATAGAAAAAATTTCGAGTAAAATGACTTTTAAAATGGAAGAAAAGAGAGGGGAAAAAATTAATAATTTTATTCCCCATCAATTAATGTTTCAGGATTGTGTGGATTTGAACCCGTGGAATAAAACCAGAGGGGGATCTAGCCACTAGTAGATAATTAGATATAACACTTAACAGGAGTCCCGTGTCCTCTATCATAGAATTCGTCGTAATCTCCAACATTGGACCAATGAGTTACAACACGCCCAGAAACTCCGTTGGCATCAGCAGAGGCGTTATCCCTAGCACTGACGTATAAATAGTCAAATTGAAGGCACTCCTCCAACTCGATGCTAAGTATGACGCTTCTCAGTGACGATGCAGATGAAATGTTTGAGTAAACGATCCTATTCTGGGAATTATAACAAAAAGCGCGAGACTGTACATTTCACAAATTATCCTTTTTCCCTTTGGCAAATTGGAAAGTGGGGTTAAACCAACAACATGCAACTAAGAGAGAATTCAATCAAGCTTAAGGCATAATTCGGCGAGATTTCATCTATTTATTTATAATAGCGAGTGACCGAAAATTGCGCTGTAAACCAGGATTGATCTTAACGTCCCCTTGGGGCTGAATTCTGGCAAGGTGGCATGTGCCACGTAAATAATATATGGAAAACATTCTAAAAACACAACTTTGAAATTGTCTATTAATTATAAGTATAATCGAAGGTATGAAGACTAAGATAATGTGGCCTTTTGGGTGGTCGCAGTCTCCTTTCGTTGTATAGACGTTGCTTGTTTATATTGGTAGGAAGACTTAGAGGAACGCACCTAGTCCGGAGTCCATTGTCTGCATGATCATTTCCAAAAGTTAAACCGTGAACGTGGTACATTACCAAACGTTTCGCCGGCATCGTCAGTGAGTATCGCCATTCTTAGCACCATACAACAACTCATCAAAGATATAAATGAAGCCGATCCTTTGACCAAACGTGTGCTAAACAATTGTGGTATTTCCCCTTCTGCCCTGGGTTATTCG